CATGGATTACAAACAAAAAAAAAAAAAAAAAAATTCCGTACGGACTCGCCGATTCACTATTCGGACTCGCCGATTCCGTACAGTGAATCGGCGATTCACTGTACAGAATCGTCCAGTTCTCTCTAGAACCGGATGATTTCCGCTTTTTTAGGCGATCCGGTCCCCTTTCACGATTTTCGAGTCGAACCGGGCGAGTCCGGTTCGACTCGACGTTTTTTAAAACGCTGGTTTAAACCCTAAGGTCTAGAGAGAACGGATAAACATGTGAGAGTATGGATAAATGTTTAAACCCACACCTATGTTAATCCATTATCATTCTATACCTTATATTGGGTGCGTTTAAACCATAGTTAGCAAGTCGGGAACTTTCAATTAATCGGCTTAGCTTAAAATCGAGAATAAATCATTTTATTTTAAAAAGTTGGATGAAAAGTTCTGTTATAAAATACGAATCGATAAAAATACTTCCTGTAAAGGTATCGCCAATATATCGGACTAGGCTCTAAAAATCGAAGTAAAAAATCAGATAAATTAAAATGTTAGAAATTTTGAAAATAAAAATTGCAATACAATTTATGACATCTTTCTTCACAATACTCCCAAAATGGAACTTTTGACCTAACCATGGTATCTTCTTTCCTGTATTTTAATAAATAAAAAATATAGAATATATAAGTCAACATATTAAGGGTTCATGCTCTTTATAAAAAATAAACTAATGAGTTCATGGTAAATACACCATATGAATTCTTCATTAAATGCTTTAACAAGCATCACACCTACTTAGTACATACCAAAAAAATACATATAAATTTTTACATTAAATACTTTAAAAAATATCATTCCTACTTAAATACATAGCAAAAAATAGACCACATATTTTTTCACATTAAAATAAAGTAGATCTATAAACATATGGAAATCTTGAAAATAGATGATGTTGATAATATGTTGTAAAATGCATTATTTTTAGGACTCAAAATCTTTTCATTTATCATAGTCGTATGAGATAATCAATCAAACGGTTTTTTAGCATTAAAACTACCTTTTCCGATGATTTTTGAGGTGCATCCATAGCTGTACAATATAAGGTTGCATCCTTACAAAAACTTTTTCCAAAATAATCGAGAGGAGAACACAAGGTAAAGGTCGTAGCTGTACAATATAAGGTTGCATCCTTACAAAAACTTTTTCCACAATGTAAACATAAAAAGGAAGGCAAACTGTAAATCGAGGGAACAAAGGCAGAACGGCGAACTCATCTCCCCTGTTTTTTGAAGGTAATCACAGTTTTTCAAAGAAGGTAAACAATATATGGTTTCATATCTCTCTCTATCTCCCCTGTTTTTCAAATAAGGTAAACCCTAAATCGAATGACAAACTCTACGAAGTGGAAGAAGAAACCCAGAAGGTAAACCCTAAATCGAAAGGGCAAATGAAGCGTTTCAGCAGCTAAATCGAAAGGGCAAATGAAGCATTAGTCTGATAAGGTATTTGTAAGGCAAATGATTTTCTTTACTCATTATTTTCTTTGCAAAATCATACTGAACACTGTATTTTCTTGATGCACACTGTACTTTTCTTGCTGCACACAATTTTTGTAGGGCATTGAAATCATGCTGCACACAGTATTTTTTTTGCAAAATAACCACTGAAATATGCATCATGCTGAAGTTAAAAAGCAAAATAAAAAACAAAATCATACGTTTCATTTTCGGATTTTTTTTATGGAAATAATTTGTTATTTTAGAAATTAGATAGATTAGGAAAATAGTTGTTTTTCTTTCTAAAAACATGGCAAGTAATAAACGCGTTTCTTTAGTTCCTCATAAAAACCGCGTTTTTTAACGGTATTATGAAAAAACCGCGTTTTTTGGCTAACTTTTAAAAAAGCGGTGTTTAAAACGTTTTTTAAAAAATCTCCGATTTTTTGAAAAATTCGTCCATTAATAGCCGAATTGCTAACTATGATTTAAACTCTTCCCTATAGAGTTTAAATGGAAAAAATAGGTAATGCGTAAGGCGTGGGTGAAGAAGGGTACGCAGGATTTCGGTTTTTCAACAACCCAAAAAAAGGGTGTACATATGGAATAGAAATTTATGTTCTTAAAGAACGAAAAATTGAAAATTTCCGCTACTTCAACCACCGAAAATTTTGAATTTTGGGTTTTTCAAAAACCAAAATTGGCCTTGAATTATGTTGTTCAACAACATAAACCGATTTAAAAAAAGGTAAAATTGTTTTTTTTTTTAATTTTCGTTATGACATGAAAAAAAGGGACAAATAGATAATAACCGAAACTATTCAGTAGTTTTGGAATAACATAAATTATAAGTAAATTATAACAGATATATACATAATTTTTCCTATTAGATAGCTTAGAATGAGTCATAAATTTTGAAAAGAAAAATAATATCGAGCTTTTTGTCTAATAAATGACACTTACAAATACCCATTTTGAGACATTTTTATACAAAAGATAAAGGGTGCCGTTTGTATAGAGCCGAGCCTCTAAACAATGAAATTAGAGCCCACTTTCAAATAGTGTCAAGAAATGTGGTTTCAATAAAGATAAAGGGTGCCGTGCGGTTTGTATAGAGCCGAAGGCTCTAAGCAATGAAATTAGAGCCCACTTTCAAATAGTGTCAAGAAATGTGGTTTCAATATTGGAAATCTTTCATTAGCTTTAAAATATATTTTCATCTTTAATTTTAAAATTTAAATATTAAAAAATTGTGTAGATCGAGTAGATCTATGAAAACTTGAATAACTTAAAAATTGACGGTCCAAAATGTGTTACAAGATGCACTATTTCAAAAACTTGAAATTCATTTTTTTCTCAAGTCCATGCATCTTAATTTTGAGATGATCAACTGGAGGAAATTTGGGGATCAAAACAACCTTTTCTAGTGAAATTTTTGAAGTAGGCTCAAGTTTGATTGTTTAGAGCCTATATAAACTTTTCCCAAGATAAATTGTGTATTTGTAGACAATCCCATAATGATATACTCGCGATCCAAAAGATAGGTAATAAGTCAATTTTATCTGAAAAAGTTTAAAGAAAAAATCGGGTCAATAATAAGAATTGCAGAGAATAAGGTAAAATATAGAATGGTGAATATTTCATATATGAAAATTATTACATCTCAAAAAATGTGCAGTCGTGTTTGTGTGCAATTGTGTACATCAAATATTAGGATATATGCAATCAACAAAACATGGAAAGAAACGATATCAATTCATTGATGAATGTCAATCCAGTCATTTAAAAGCCATCCCAAGATTAGGCATTTCTTTAACTATTCACCAAAATAAATAAAAAGATAAGATTCAACTTCCGCATTCTTTATTTGAGAAATAAGTTTTTAAAAACTACCCTCCTGTACTATTGTCTAGCAAGCAGTCCTTCATTCCTCTCACTAGACTACTGCTCAAAACACTGATGACTTTGACTTGGAAGGCCCATGTAGTTCTTTCTATCGGTACTGGGCAAATGCACATTGTTGTAATTGTAGTTATTGCAGTGGCTTAGAAAGTGGCCATGGCTATATTGCTCTTGATCATACAATTTCTTGATCAGCATATTTCTCTCTCCTGACTTCTCAAAATCCATGAAAATATTTCTCTCCCTCTCATTTTTTACCTGGTATTGACCCATGAAATCACTTCTAGAAGGAACACAATTCAAAGGTGGGGTGAGCACATTATTTTTAGGGTCAAAGCCCATCAAGGGACTCACCCCAAAATTCACATTCTGAAATTGCTCCATCTCTCCTGCCCTGTAAAGACCTTCATGCAGTTCCAAATTCTCACTGGGCCTGTAAAGACCTTCATGCAGGCCCAAATTCTCACTGGGTTTCATTGATATGGGTTCAACATTCATCACAGGAAAATTACATGTCAGTAGTTGATTCAACAAGTGTGGGTTTATCATCTCTCCCCTCTCTATCTCTCTAACCTCTTGCTCCTCCATTTTCTGTACCACCCCCACATTCCCCATGCTCAACCTCTCTCTGAGAAAAGAAATCATTGCGTTGAGTCGATTGGCAAGAGCTGCAAGGTATTCTACGCTCATGTGGTCGAGTCGATCGTCCCAAGATGGATAGAGAATTGCCGAGTTCTCCCTCCTCAATGAGTCGAGCTTTTCTTGCACCTTCTTGATCTTGTCTTTCACAAAGCCTGTTGAATTGAGCATCTTCTTTTCTCTGTGCTCTTTGGGTAAGCTCATATACCTTTGAACTACATTCATGCAAGCAGACTTGTCTTCAGGCCATGTTTCTAGATCTCCATTGGGGCTAAAGCTTACGAGGCATGTGTCTACTCCACATAGAATAGAGAACTCTGAGGCTTTCTTCTTTAGGCCTTTCTTTCTCTTTCTAAATGTATCATTTCTCTGGTTTGGACGTCCCATGATGTTGTTATTTCTAGGGAGCTTCGTCTGATCTGCAATAGGGAGGAGAGAGGATTATGAAGAAGAAGTCAGCAGAGAGAGAAGATTATGAACAGGAAGTTCAACAGAGAGAGGATACTATGAAGGAAAAGAAAAATATTGGACAAATGGTCCCTCAACACAATGTACCAGTGTTAACACTCAGCCAAGTCGACTTAGACTTGCCAATCGATTCGGCCTTGGAACCGCCAATTAATTCGGCCTTGGAACCCTGCCGAGGCCAGTTCTCCACGTGCACTTGGGATTATTGTAAAGGTCTTAAAAATTATTTTTATTTTACTAAATGACCAATAAATGATGCAAAAATATGTTTCTGTATAATCTTTGTTCTTTTTATGATCATTTTGGATTTTCCTTATAATATGCTCTATTTTTTGTTCCATTTTTTTTTAGTTGTATGAATGTTTCAAGCTAAAAATTAATTTCCTATATTACCTCTTCTATATACATTTTTTTTTTTCTGTTTTGTGTACTTTTCATATTGTTTAAGATTTATTTAGATTTTTGCTGATTTTTTTTTGTTTTTAACAATAATGTTTTGATTTTGGCAATACTGAAACATTCCCAGGCGCATACACAACTCGAGTCCACTCAAACTTACCCGAGTTACTTAGCTCAACAAGCACCTTAAACCCATTTTATGGGCCAGAATTTTCTGATTCATTCTCTAAAGAAGAGATCAGACGAAGTGGCTGATAAAATGTGGGTTCTTATATTGAAACCTAATGTTCAAGCCTATGTGACCTAAACAAACGACTTTAAGCTTCAAAAGTAAAGATAAAAAGAAACCAGAAATGACAGAAAATGCTAGAAAGTATAGTACTGAGATAGACAAAAGGACCCATTTGGGTAAATCATGACAAGCTTGAACTTATTTATCTTGAGCTGCTCTGGTTACTTCTGAGAAACTAAGGATATTTTGCACCATTTTAAAAAACACATACATACATCACTTCATGAAGGTTCCTAGATATCCATGAAAGGACATGCATTCCTCATCACATTACCTTAGCTAAAATTAGCAGCTAACTATCCAAAAATCACTTCTTCGACAAGCCAGGGTTAGTTAACAGAAGCAACTGAGATGCAAAAATAAATGATTAAAATTCTCCAAAAATACAATAGAATCTCAATCAAGAAAAAGTAAATCAATAAAAGGCATTTCATGCAAGATGCAATTTAGCAACATAAACAGAATATGCTTTAACAAAATCATGAAACAGCAAATTAAAGAAAAATAGAAGTGAGAAGAAAATAAGCACAAACCCATAATTTATTTATTTTTATTCTTAGCATAAACCTTTTAAATCTATGTCCTGCCCAAATTATAGGCTTCCTTTAAAGAAAGGCCAATCTTTTGGTAATATATCAAATAAAGCCTGCATTTTATTTTTTCACAAACCTCTCACATGTGTTTTCAAATGGGTTTTGAACCAAAATACCCCTCTCAAAAATTAGCATCATAACAAATGAAAAAAAAATCCTCTAGAAAACATCAAAATTGGCATCCTAGAACAAATATTTCAAGAGAAATCTAGTAAATTTTTTAATATAAGGTAACACATATTCTTTACCTTTGAACAAGGGAAATTAACATCCCGAAATATTTTCCCCTATTTTAAATAGCACAATTATTTTCTAGGAAGTCACAATGTTGACGAGAGAGAATCTTGATCTCTTGTTAAAAAAATATTTGGTCCAAAAACACTTTAAATAAAAATTCCATGTGGGGGGTTTGTTGAAAACAACAAAAGAGTTAAGTGTTTTATTTGATATTTCCAAAAAAATATCGGGTTTTTGAAAGGCAGCCCATAATCTCGGGGGTAAGGTGTAAATTTCTGTAATTTAAATGAAAAACAAGTAAATACATGGGAAGCACTACAAATGAAGAAAAACATAGAATAGAGACAAGAAATATATTTTCAAAATATAAAAGAGCATAAAACACAATTAAATCAAATTAAAAGCACATGAAATGAGGAAAATAGGCCTCAAACATGAAGGGTAGGAGATTAATTATGGTATTTAGGGAGAGGAGACAAATCACAATAGATATGCCTAAACCAGAAAAAAACAGAGTAGAAAAAGAAATCTAAGCAACAAAAAAGAAAGAGTAAAATATACTAACACACATGAGAGAAACCATGAGACTTGAACCATAAATATACAAAAAAAAATATTAATTTTGGAAAAATAGTATCTAATATTTACCAAAAATAGAGAAAATCAGATTTCAATGAAGTAGAATTGAAGCCAACTTAGCAATTACAATAATCGCACTGCTACCAAAAATAGAGAAAACTAGGGTTCAATAAAGTAAATTGGTATTCAACTTAGAAAGTACTTCAAAATCTTCATAAATTCTTAATCAAGAAACTGAAATCATTAGAAGTTAGTAGAATGGGAGAAGTGAAGCATTTAAGAAAATCTTCATAAATTCTTATTAAACAGTTTGATTTAACATCCATTTAAAAAAATAGAAGCGCGACACTAACCCAGAAAAAGAAAATTATCAATTAAATAAAAACAAGTTAAAGCTCTCACAAATATTAAAAAAAAAAAAGTAAATCAAAATCATTGACATGACACAGAAGCCCGAAACTCCTTATCATATTTGTAACATACAGTCATAATGCTCAACTCCAGAAAAAAAAAAAAAACTCTCTAAACGATAACTCGCATTGTGCCAATCAAAATGGTAAACAAAGCATAAAAAGCCAACAAAAGGAAAATTTAGAGTCCTTAACAATTGTACCTCCTTTTCTCAGACAAACAATAACAGAGAGAGAGGGGAGGAGAGAGAGTTGCATAATAGTTTAGAGAGAGAGGCACCTGCAACATAGACAGAAACAAACTACGATTGTGTAATATACAAATCGAAAAAACAGATATATATTCTTTAAAGCAGAAGGAAACCTTCCCTTTGTAGAGGGAGAGAGAACCAAAAAATATATATTCTTTAAAACAGAGCTTGTCTATGAGATTGCAGAGAAAAGAAACCTTCCTTTCTAGAGAAAGAGAAGTTTCTTAATGTGAAAATTCCTTTTACGAAAATGAAAAATAGAATGAGAAAATGTAAACCTTTTTATGTTTATTTATTTCATCTCTAATTTCTTTTATGTTGATCTATTTTTTCTATCTCTATGTTATACGGTATTTAAAATGCTCTAAAAAAATTAAAGAGAAAGAAAAGATAAATATTAAAAAAATAAGAGAGAGAAATAAGAGATAAACATAAAAAAAAAATAGAGATAAAAGAGATAAATATAATAAGGAGAAAAGGTCGTCGTATAATATGGGTTAGTTTTTACAGGGGTAAAATGAGTTTTAGTTTTTACGATACTTAACGTATCGTAATTGGCTTCTATAGTTTTAAGGTACTTAAAATTATGTAATTCTAATTGAAGTTATTAGTATTACGGTACTTTATTGGTATTACGTAGTTTTAGGGTACTTAAAGTGCTATAATTCTAATTGAATTATTGGTATTACGGTACTTTATTGGTATTACGGTACTATAAGTACCGTAATTCTATCAATGCATTTATGGTAGAAAGACTACCGTAAAGGGCATTTGCATCCAAAACATCGTAAAATTTGAGAAAAAAGGTGTGAGCGAGGTTTTAAGAAGTTTGGGGTTTTTTTTCAATTTTATTAAAATTAAAGTATACTAGGGATAATTTCTCTTTAAAATACTATATATATATATAAGAGTGCGGTTTTTATAAGGTCGCAACCTTAAACAATCCAATTAAGGTTGACCTCCAAAATTTATCATAACATGCAATTTTGTTGTAAAAAAATCTTAGAATTATCTTAAAATCTATTTTCATATCTAATTAGAAAGTTTTAAACTCCAAAAATGGTTAAAATCAAGGAGATCTATAAACATATGAAAATCTTGAATATGGACGGTCTAGATAATATGTTGCAAGATGCACTATTTCTGAGACTCAAAAACTTTTTTTTCTTTTTTTATGTTCATATATCTCGATGTCAAGATGATAAAATAGAAGGTTTCCCAACATTAAAACAACCTTTTTGATAGATTTTTAAGGTGCATATGCAATTCTACATTTTAAGGTTGCAACCTTATATAAACTTTTCCCTAAATAATATAATGAAGGGAAAACTTTATATAAGTATCTAAACAATCAAATTAGGGCGCGCCTCAAAAATTTCACTAGAAGATGATGTTTTAATATCCAAATATCCTCAAATTGATCCTCTCGACCTCAAGATGAATTGACATGAGAAAAAAAATGGATTTCAATTTTTGGAAATAATGCATTTAGTAATGCATTTTTAAACCGTCAATTTTCAAGATTTTCAAGTTTTCATAGATCTGCTCAATCTATACTATTTTTGAATCTTTAAATTTTATAATTAAAAATAAAAATATATTTTAAAGCTATTACAAAGATTTAAAGTATTGAAACTACATTTCTCGATACTATTTGAAAGTGCACTTAACTTTGATTGTTTAGAGCCTCACCTTATACAAACCACACCCTACAATAAAATATGGAATATATTATCAAGAAGCTACTATTTGAAGGTGTACTTAACTTTGATTGTTTAGAGCCTTGACCCTCTACATACCGGACTCTATAATAAAAAGGAAAGGTTTATATGCTTTCCCTACAGCTAAAAGTTTTATCCTCTCCTTACAATCCAGCCGTTCAATTTTGATCAAGAGAGCCACTTACTGTTTGATCTTGGATCCAACGTCTCAAAGTATTTTATTTTTAGTTTTTTTAATACAATTTTTCTGAATATGGAATTTAGTACGTGGCATCTTCTCATCGGGGCACACCTATAAAAAATATTAACAATAATTTTTCGATAAAATATAATGATCAAAATACCTTTTGAAACTTTCAGGGGTATTTTGATCATTTTATTTTATTGAAAATATTGTTTTTATATTTTTCGCTAGTACAAATTTTCAGGAGTATTTTGATTATTTTATTTTATTAAAAATATTTTTTATATATTTTTTACTAGTGCAAGTTTAATAGAGGAATGGACGTCCAAAATTTGGTGTCAAAATAGTTTATAGAAAAAAATTAAAAATAAAATAGTGTAGAGACGTGACATTGTGATTGGAGCAATCTTAACCCTCCATTAAGAAATAGACGGTTGAATAACGGGGAGGATAGAACTCCGTGCTCTAAGGAAAAAAAAAAGCTTTCCCTTTAAAGAATAGGCTAACTCTAGTGACTCTACTATGCTTGGGCAGTGCCATAATTCCTGTTCATTAAACGCTGACTCTATCATGCTTGGGCAGTGCCATAATTCTTGTTCTTTAAACGCTG